ATGCATGTTGTTGTTCGCACTCGTGTTGGTCACCCTCTATTTTTATGACATGACAAATTGATGCACAAAAATATGTTTTCAAGAACGATCATATGCTAAGAATGATAATAATGTGCTGACATTATTTTCTTCATTATCCACTAGCTTGAATTAGGTGATATATATATATATATATATAGATTAATAAAGTTTTAGATCATTAAAATAGTGAATATAGCCATTAATGACATTTGAAGCTTGAAACAAACCTATTCACATGTGAAATGGAGCTTGGCAAAGTTCCTCAATTTCATATATGACATTTCAAGCATGGATATAGGTACTTTCATGCATGATTTATAAGGTAGAAGTTTAAAACCATTATGTGTGAAAAATCAAGTATGAAGTAATAGACCCCATGGCATGGATAACATTGCATTAATGGCAATGAAGCTTGAGGATGGCAATTATGAGCATGGTAGCATGAAAGGAGCCCAAGGCAAAGAGCAAAGAACCTAATAGTTCTAATCCAACGTGTCTAAAGACCTTTTACAATATATTGGGGATCCAATGATAAGAGCTTAAACTAAAGCCATAAAGCAAGCCTTATTTAGACTTGTGCAAGAAGTCCAAGAGCTTAGAGAACATTAGGGCACTCCTTTCAAGCCTAAAGAAGAGCATCTAGGCATAATGTGCTTAAGATCTAAATCCATAAAGAGTCAAGTCCAAAAGGTGCAAACCTTAGCCCAATGTGAGGAAGACTGCAAGTAGAGCCTTTTGCAAATAAGGAGGCATGAAACCCTAGTGAAGAAGTCAAGGGTGGTATTATTTTAAATCCTTTATGATACCTTGATCGTCTCCTTAATTGTTTTCTATTTTAGTGATCTTTTAACTTGACTCCCTTTCTTAAGGAGTAAGACTAGTTATAGTTTTCTATTTTGAGTTTACTCAAAGATTAGGATTAATTATATTATTTTTAATTTCTAAGTTTTGTAATTCCATAATTTTAGGATCACATCTCCTAAAATTATGTGGTTGAATATTTTCTCCTTTATTTTATATTATTTTCTTTCTCCTTTTAGTATTAGAAAATTAGGGTTTTAATTTTAGGAAATAGTCTTCTCTATGAGCTTATATATATTGGATATGCTCCCTCTTGTAAATGAAAGAGAATTTGAATGAAATTATTTATTTTAGAGTTTATAACTCTTGTGAGCCTTAGTACTTTGTGGTGGCATCCTATGTGAGAAACAAACATGATCAAGAGCGTGATCAACTCTTATGGTGTCTTTAAAGGTTGAGATTTCTAGAGGTAAGTGCTATAGAGAATCTTATCCTTGATCATTATCTTATTGTTTACGTCCTTTCTTTCTTTATTTTTGTCATAAATTTTATCTCTTTTTTTTGTTCTTGTTTTTTTGTTGTGTTTCAGGGTTCTTTCTCTAAACTAGTACGATTCTGCTTTTGTATCCTCTATCATGAAGGCTCTTGCCTCTCATGCATGAAATAGACGGTAGAAGCTTCAAGCTTCTTTGGATGACAATTCATGCATGAATGCATTAACCTTTCAAGTGTGAAATGGATGGCAAAAGCACCTAGCTTCTCTAGGTGACAAATCACACTTGAAATACTCTAAAACAAGCTTGATTTGGCTTGTTTGGTTTTAGGCTCTTTAAGGTCAGATTTTAACCCAACTTGGCATATGTAGGTCTTTTGAGGCATGAATATCCTCCATTCAAGCCTAAAAAACATTACTTTTGTGAAATGCAAGCTAACACTTGGCGACGATTCAAGCATGAACATACTTAGCATTCAAGCATGAATCAAAGTATAGAAGTATCTCCAAGACACCTCCCACTTATAGGCACCAATTCAAGCACGAATCATCATGATTCAAACTTGAAACAACTTATAGTGTAGTGTCTAACTTCTATGGTCTAATTCAAGCGTGATTCATTCTATTTCAAGCTTAAATTGATACCACTAAGTCCTATTATGCATAAATGATGGTCATTTCAAGTGTGAATTATCCCATATCAAGCTTGAAATGAACAATTGAGCATAGGTGGATTCTAAATGTTTGACATTTAAGATCAAAGGACTTATGAGCTTAAAGTTGATTCTAAAATGATGCATTCTTATCAAATCAATGACATTGGATTAAGCTCTCCCATTTTTTACAGTGATTCTAAGAGAAGTAAATAAATTAACCTATTAAACTCAATTAATCTTCTATTGATCTTTATGCTCTTGAAAGTTTTGTCACTTCAATGAATCTTGAAATCTGTACAAGCAACGAATGCCTCTTTTTTTAGTTTTGTAGTCATCAAAATACATGGTTCAAGAATTGTATGCTTGATGAAGTGAATAAGAGATCATCCTTATTTTCTCTCTATTTATTTCTCTTTTACTCTTCATCTCCCTCATCTCAATCTCTTACATTTTTCTTATTTTTATAACATATACTACATTAATTGAATGTTTGTAGAAAGTAAGTGAAGGAAGTTTAACCTTGAAAAAAAGCAGGTTGCCATGAGTGCAAGTCTAATGTAAGAACTCATCAGGAAAAAAAAAAAACTAGCATATTAAAAGAGAGAGCCCCTTAAACTTATAAATCTTATTTTATTTGTGAGATTCTTCGATATAAAACTTATTACATCGGTGTAAATCAATTCCAACTTCTTAAAATTTTCCTGGAAAATTTACTTTAATTTTTTCCTTGTTCCTTGTTCATATATCCAGAAGTATGTTTGGCTTCTACATGTGATGATTCTCAAATTTAAGAAGGTTCGGGATGAAAGCCGGAAAGTAGTAAACTAACACTAGTTTTAAGTTGTGATTTTTAACTTTTAACAACTTTTTAGCCAAGAGAAGAAATAGAAAAGAAAAGTTAGCATTTTAATATTTAAAAACACAGATAAAGACATGTTACCTAAAAAAGAATAAATGTAAAAAAAAAATGCACATGTTGTATTGGCAATTTCTTGACTCACTACTATACTATGCAGAATTTTTTTCTTGTCTCCTTCATTGCCCTTACTTTATTTGATTTTACAACCAAAGTTTATTGGCGAAACTACGAATTATATTTCACATTTAATTAAAAAAATAATTTCTTACCCTCATTAAATATATATTATCATATTAAACAATGAATATGGTAATTTTAAAAATTAAATCTCAAATATATTTATTAATCTTAATTCCCTACAAAAGAATAGTAATATTGTTGAAAATTTGTTAAAATGGCTTATTATCAAGATGCTGAAAACTGAATTGGTTAATATATTGGTTTAAGGGTTAAGAATAAAAATGTACATAGTGGATTTGTGGTCAGATTTATGATAAACAAATCATTTCATTTAACAAATTAAGACAGTGATTCAGTGATTTATTTGTTCAACTAATCAGGTTAACATGATTTTTATTACTATGCTTATTATACAAAGTGCAAGAGGAGTATACGTGGAGAATTAATTAATTTTTTAAATAAAACAGAGGGATATAGTTGTAGCATGGTGCAAATTGTGGGCCCATGATGAAGTTGAATGGGGCGATCAAGCTGAGTGAATATTAAAGAAATGCAAGTTGGAGAGGGAATATATGGTGGAGATCACTTGATGGTTAGGATACCAAGTCCACGTGGAGTAATTGAGTATGATAGGATGCTCAATGGATATCCATCACAATGCAAGTTGGGGAGGGAATGGATATGTTACAGCTAGCCGCTAAGATTTGTGTAATGAATCTGATGTGGAGAGTTTTCAATGTCAAGATCTAAACGAGGCAAAAGAGGCTTCATGCCCACACAGCTCAGCACGTGACTCTCCCCTGATGATATTTATGCTTCCCACTTGACCACCCCTACTTTCCTTTTAGGGCTTGTTTGGGTAACCCTAAAAAATACATCCAAATTACATTTGAGATCTACTTTTGTCAAATTTAACAAATAGTTGGATCCTTCAAATATACTTTTAACGTATATAAATTGAAATTCAAACGGGCACGTAGCCTCCCCTCCCTACTCTTTACATTCCAACTCACCTTCTATAAAGAGGTCTAAAGATTCATTTTTAAAAATATTTCTACTACATTAATTGAATATTTGTAGAAAGTAAGCAATGGGTTATCATGAAAGAGGGACGGAAATTAAATAAATAGAGAAAATATAATATTAAAATAAGTATATTTAATGAAACATTAATCTTCTCAAACTATTTTATATTTTAGAATGTCAAATATCTCACAAAAATGTTTTATAATTTGAGATTGAGGGATTATAATGATCATGTTGGATTGTGTTTTTAATATTAAAAATTTTATTCAAGAAAAAAATTATTGGAACTTCTTAGGAGTTAAAAAGTAAAAGTGATGATTAGCTATGGATTTTATCATGTGATGATTGTTTTGAGGAATGTATGTAAACAGAACAAATCAACACCACGATAGGCATTTTAATACGGAGGTCGCATCTTGCATTGTCAAATATTGTTTCTTCCAGCTCTCTCCATCTCAATTTATAAAATAATTTTAGACAAAATCATGTATATTAATAAAGTTCATCAAATATACATTTTATTACAACCTTATTTTATCAAAACATAAACATAAACTTTCAAAAATACTTTTCATGTAACACTAAATTTGTAAAAGAATATTAAAGAGAATATAATGATAAAGGCAACATTTGAAAAACATAACTAATGAAACTTTTTTTATATACAAATAAAATTTAGGTACTCAAAGAGCAATTATAGATCGCTCACTTATAATATCCTCATATCGGTTATGGGATTTGAACTTGCAATTTTGTGAGTTTTGGGGCAATTATATACTTACCAACTGAACCAATTTTTTTTTAATAATCAATGAAACCTTATTTTCATTTAAGTATCTTGTGTTTTGTAATGTTGAATCTTCTCAAAAGTATCTTATAAATTGGAATAAGGTATTATGACTGTGTTCACGTCTATATAAATCTCAGATCCTATTTCACTATTAGAGAATAATCTTAGCTTGGCCATGTACTACTCAACACTTGTGCTCGTGCTTACCTTTCTATTCTCATGCCTCTGTACCGTCATCTCCTTCCACCAAAACCAAAACCCTAAAAAAATCTTCAAAGCTGCCACCAGGCCCTCCTCTTTTTTGGATCATAAGAAACATCTTAGAAATCAGTAAAAATCCTCAGCAATCACTCTCTAAACTCTCAAAAACCTATGGCTCTCTTATGACTATCAAACTAGGCACCATGACAACCATTGTTATTAATTCCTCGCCAGACATGGCCAAAGAAGCGCTTCATAAACACGACTTGGCTTTTTCAGGTCGAACAGTCTCTCACGCACTTCAAACATTTAACCACCACAGACTCTGTCATAGTTTCGGATCCTTCAGTTCATTGGAAGACTCTCAGGAGAACCTGTGTCTCCAAAATATTCTCGTCTTCCCAACTTGATTCTACACAGAATTTGCGTTTAAGGAAGTTGCAGGAAATGTTGGAGTACGTGAACAAATGTTGCATAAAAGGTGATGATGCTTTGGATATTCGTGAAGTTACCTTCACGACATGTCTTAATTCAATATCTAGCACTCTTTTCTCCATTGACGTTTCTGGTTTTGCTTCTGATTCCTCTCGAGAGTTTAGAGATATTATATGGGGTATAATGGGAGAAGTTGGGAAACCTAATATTGTAGACTTTTTCCCTGTTCTTCGAGTTCTTGATCCACAAGGTGCACGCTTAAGAATGGACAATTTTGCTGGAAAGTTGTTTGAGATGCTCGATGATATTGTTGGAGAAAGAATGGAAGTGATTAGAGTCTCAAAAATGGAGTCAGAGAAATTGAGTGATGTGTTACGTTCATTGCTCTGTCAAAAGGAAGAAGGCAAACCGCAACTGGGTCGTTTGGACATCGTCGATTTGTTTGCGGTAAGCGTCTCTAAGAATTCTCTATTCTCTCGTGTCCATCAATGAACCAATCTGCAAGTTTATATTCTTCAACTGAAAGCATCATTGTTTCAAAACTCAAGTATACAAAACTTCTCTAAATTTTGAAATAGTTGCATATAATGCCACTTGCATTTAAAAATTTAAAATTAATGTTTCTAACCTTCAATTTTTTTTAGGGAGAATCACAGCCAAGGTCCACTCAAAGAAATTATTCACAAACAAGAATTAACACAAAATGAATTATTATTAAAATGAGAGAGTGACTTTTTTTTTTAAATGGGACTTGTTATTAGTCCTTGTCTATAAATAATTTGCTCAAGTAGTTCTTGGATGTGATTCTTCCTTTTTTTCTTATCATAGACTCCTTATACTATTACTTTTTTAAGTTATCTTACTAACAGAAGTTATTATGTCATATTGAAAAAAGATACATGACAACTTATGTGACATCTGGTGTGAACTAATGATAGCTTTATAAAAAATTATATTTTCATATTTTTTTTGTTATTATTAGCTTGCATTGCACGCCACAAAAGTTGCTGTGTTTTTTTCCAGTATGACATAGTAACTTTTATTAGTAAAAAAATAACAATAGGAGTAAAATAGAATTGGATGCTCTATCACCATAACTTCTACTATCTCCATAACTCTCCTACCCATGAGCTATAATAAGTTTTTTTAATCTCCATATACATTTAATAAGTCCTTTTAATACCCATAACCTCCTCCATTATAACCCCATTAATCTCATAAAGTAGTTTGCAACCCTCATTAAGCATTATAACATCTCATTAAGCTATTGTAACCCCCCTTTTTTAAAAAAAAAATGCTTTGTCTAGGAGATGACCTTCACGAATTGCTATAAATAGAGCATTGTCATTCTGTTTGTCTTCAGAATCATGGAATAATATAATTTTTTTTTATCAAAGCAAGACTTTTTCCCTAACTCCTAAGCCAGGTTTAGTTTGCATGTGGTTACATAAAAAATTAAAGGTTAAATCAGTTAATTTTAAACTTTTAAAAGTAAAAGGGTTTATGCAACTATCTTAAAATTTAGAAAAGTTTTATATATATATGGCTTCTTTTAAAGTATTAGTTAAAAACTGAACTACATTATATTATTTTAAAGAATTGTTAAGTTGAGATGAGTGATATTATGTGGTGGCCATGATCAGCCACGTGTAATGATCTACAATTGATCAGCACAAATCTCATCAATCGAACAAGAAATAATATGTTATTATTTTCAGTGTGTCCTCCATTGCTGATCATGTTGCTATCATGTTCTATAGGATTTGTTGCTTGCAGGGACTGAGACAACATCAAGTACAGTGGAATGGGCAATGGCCGAGCTATTAAGTAATCCAGAAAAAACTGGAAAAACTCAAAAAAGAGCTTCAACAAGTCATTGGTGAAGAAGATCACATTAAAATCAAAGAATCACATGTTTCAAAATTGCCATTCTTAAGGGCAGTGATAAAGGAAACTCTTCACTTACACCCACCAGGTCCATTATTAATACTGTGATAACCCAAGAATTATTAAAAAAATTAAATTAAAAATTAATTATATATATAAGTTTGTGTTTTAATAGTAATTATATAAATTCTTGGAATAAATGTGACAAGGAAGAAAGCTAGTATAGTGGTAGCAAAATATGTATTTTCTCATTAGGTCACATGTTCGAATCTAATGAAGACCAGGGAAAATTTTTTTCTGCTCTTTGTTTATAAAATTATGAAATTACACTTTTCCGAATATGATGAAAGCCTCCTTCTCTTCCTCGGCCATTCCAAAAAAATGGAGAGAGAGAGAGAGAGAGAGTATGAGAATATGACCGACTCAACCTTTTCTCATTCCAGTGATTCCTGACTCATCTCCCTTTCGTGTTCGTGGTGGTGGCAGGTGCGATTGAAGCTGTAATTGCTTTGGTTCATTTCCCCTATGTTCCTTGTCTTTATTCTTTCTCGTCATTCTTGGTTCATTTTTAGCTATCTTTGTTGGGTTGGGTTGTTGTTCAGTTTCTGTCATCTGTGTTTAGGTTGTTGCTAGCGTGAGACCAAATCATTGGAGCTGGAAGTTCTACTCACAAGTATTTCCTTTCCTAGCTGAATTGTGAGTGTTGTGATCTTCTTTATTGGTCTGTGCTCCCTATTTCTGTGTCTTCTCTACGTGCTGTCTGTTCATGTTGTTCTTGGCTGAGAATTCACAAAGTATTGAGTACTGGAAGGCTATTACTGTGAGCTCGTGTTGGTATGGCTGAACTAGTCTTCTTCCATTGTTAGGTGTAGTGATAACATTCAGCTTATATCTCCCCTGTTCAGTGTAAGTTTTACCTTTCTCTTCCTTATATGTACATTGCTCGTTGCTGGAAGTAAGGGAGCTTCAAGACTTGCTTTCTCTTGGTTAATATATGTGTGATTTGATCATTAAAGCTGGAAAAGTTTGGCTCCCCTGTTATTGTGGCTATACGTGCATGAGGAGGAAGTAGAATTTTAATTTAAATAGAAATTACTAGTGTAGAAGGAAGGAGATGATGTTGTAGCTTAGAGTTTTATTTGAAAATAAGTAGATTATTAATATTGTAAGGGTAAGGAATGTTGAAATCTAGAACAGAAAAAAAATCATCTTTGTTGATGACTATGCCATAATTATTCAACAAAATGAGTAATAGGAGAAGTAATGCACCTAAAGTATTTGGTGCAAAGACTAAGAGAGGGTTGTGTCTCAAGAAAGAAAAATAATAATAATAGATTGGCATGGGTAAAACAAGCTGGAGTAGACTAGTGATATAAATGGTATTTAGACTAACTCTAAAGCATGAATATTAATTTTAAATGACGGGGTTGATTTGGAATTGCGTTAAAAAAATTTTATTTATTTACATCCTAATAGGGTGTGAGGAAGAATAGGACCTTGATCAGAATTAAAGGAAGGATACTTTTGAGAATTTAAAGCTCTAACAAGTAAGTGAATAGCATTCCATTTAATTTAATTTTTATATAGCCTTTTCTGAAATATTTTATTCTTATAAATTACATTACTTTTGAAAATTATGAAATATCAATGAAGGACAAACAAGTTATGATGCGTGCATTTATTATTTACAAAAGTGTATTTCCAAGATTGATGAAAGTATTTTTGTATGATTGTTAAGCTTTGGAATTTATTAGCTATTCAATTAGTGCAAGTTTGGTATATTAGTTATAAAGTATGATTTTTGCAAATTTTGAGAATTGAAATAATTCATACAAGTTTGGCATTGAGAATGGTAATTTTACTACAGCAGAAATTATTCTTTTTGCATGTTTGAAACGTGATATTTAAGAGGACTCAAAATAGAACACTGCTGCTAATGGCAGTTTTGTTAGCCTGTAGCGCTATGGTTAGACACTAGCTAGTTTTTTTCTTGAGTTTTATTCTCACGTTTGGTGTTCGTGGGCTTTGTACCCGCTTTTGATTTTATGGCCTAAGCTGCATTTGGTTATTTACTCTCATGAACTGTGTGTCCACGTTTGTTTCATACCTTCAGCTGCATTTGGTTACTTACCCACATTTGTTTTTATGGCATAAGCCACATTTGGTTATTTACTCTTGTGGACTTAGTGTCCATGTTTGTAACATGTTCTATTAAGTTCTCAAAATTTTAAATGTTGATTAATATGTGTTTTCAAAATTTACATGATTTTGGCTAGAAATTTTACCACTTTGAGTTATATGTGAGTAAATTGTTTTCTTTAAGCATGATAACATAAATTGTTTTTAATTTACTCTTATTTTACAATTATGGTTGACTTACGAGCTTATAAGTTTTTTTTGTGAAATTATTTTTAATTAGTTGACACCATTATTAGAGTTTATTGATTTAAATTTTAAGAATTTTATCATGGGAATGCTATTCACTAAAAAAATTATTCTGGCCTCAGATTTGTTAACTGACCCTAATCTCACCATTGATTTCAAAAGGGCAAAATAGCTACAGTGGGTGGAAATTTTTGATTCATACTGTTACTTTTAATGTAAATATATAATTCATATGTCTTTTGGATTTAAAAGAAACATTAGATGCTTCACATAGGTTGTTGATAGACCTTATTTTTTATTTGTATATTGGTTATTGGTTGGAAGGAGCTATGCTCATAATTTATACTATTATCTGTAAAAATTTCTGTGGTAGAATTTTTGAGAGATCCTAGTCACAAGAGAGATTCTACTAAAATTTCTACAGAAACGTTGAAGTCTTCTAATGATAAGTAATATTAAAAGTGTTATAAATTCTATATAATCTAATTATTTTAAAAAAATGAATTGAATTTTTCATGTTAAGGCTTACGGGAATGTGCGATGTGGTTTGCACTTGTGCTGGTCACCCTCTACTTTTAGGGCGTGACAAGTACCTCACAAGACACTTGAAGATGTAGAGATTTATGGCTTCACAGTGCCCAAAAATTGACAAATTCTCATCAACATATGGGCTATGGGAAAGGACTCAACCATATAGTATGACCCAAACCAGTTCATGCCAGAAAGATTTTTGGGGAGTGAAATTGATTTGAAAGGTCATGATTTTGAACTGATTCCTTTTGAAGTAGGAAGAAGAATATGCCTTGGATTGCCATTGGCTTTTAGATCAGTTCACTGAATGTTAGCTTCTCTCACCCACAAGTATAATTGGAAGCTTGCAGATGATATCCATCCTCATGAATTAAACAGACATGGAGGAGAAATTTGGGCTTGCAGGGTTCATCCTCTTAGAGCTAGTCTAACCAAAGTTTAATAACAGCTAGAATAATTCCCGCACTAGATTGTTCAAATTATTGTCAAAGAATTGCATTGCATGCTCCAAGAATGGAAATAATCAACAGTACCCCCCCCAAAAAAAGGAAGAAAAAAAGAGAGTATTAAATGATTCTCATCCCTCTTGATATGTAATAGATTGAATACAACCATATGTCTTTAGATTTTCATTCTTGTTTGCTAGTTCATCGACATACGACTGCCTTCAACACTTCGTTGTTCTCATGGTAGGTAGTAATGGGATTTCTATTCCTAGGAGAATCCTTTTCATGTTGTACTTCATTGGCTAGCTCCTTGGTGGGTTCGAATAAAAGGAGGTTTAGAAGTATTACTTACCTAGTATGCTTATTACGTCCTATTCACTAGCACTTCCATTTAATTTCCACATATTGGTTGTTCAGTCATAGTTATCATGTGTTTGTTGTGGTTTGTTTGTTTTGTTTTTATTTTTTTTATCCCCCTTGTGCTTTTCAATTATGGGTTGTTGTTTCAATTATAAGGCCTGAGGAAATAGATTTCCTATTTTCTTGAACTTTAATGTTGCAATCCATTTACTTTGTTTTTTTAATAAAGTTTACTTCCTCTTGTTGCTACCGATGATGATACAATTATATGTTATTGTTTATCCTATCAAAACCGTATTTTGTCCAAACATTTTTAAAATGAAAGAAATATAAAAGATAAAAAAGATAACAATATAATAAAACATGGAATATGATTTTTTTCTTCGTTAGTTATTTAAAAATATAAAAAAAACAAAAGAGTAAAAGAGAAAAAAAAATATTATCTTTTGTTCTAAATTTTAAGAAATAAGAAAATCTAGGATTAAGAAAAGACCTTTTATTCTAAACATTCTTTCTTTCTAGAATCAAAATTTTAAAAAAATGATAGTTAAAAAATTTAATAAAATTTTAAAATAAACTAAAAAAATCTTTCCTTTTAAATTTTAAAAAGTAGGAAAATCTAGAATTATGGAGAGATCCTTTATTCTAGATAGGAGAAAATTTATATACTTAGCCTTATATATTTAAAATACTTGTTTTCAATTAAATCAAGACATGTGTATCATTTATAGATTATTTATTTAATAATAAATTATTATTATTAATATTATGCACACATTAAAATTTACTTGTTTTGACTTGATTGGATATGAGTATATTAAGTATATAAAACTAAGTATATAAGTCTTGTCCTTCTAGATAATCTTTCTTTTTAAAATTAGAATTGAAAATATGGCATAAATAATGACTTATATATAATATCATTAAAAAACAAAAAAAGGAAGTAATTTCTTGAAAAAGTACACCACTTAACTTGTACTGAGCGATCTGACAAAAACACGAGAGTGTGAGAGGAGTGCGATGTCGTTGGGAGGGCTACCACCACCATCAGTGGTGGCTTCGGAGGATGAGGATCGGAGTAGGAAGAAAGGAAAGAGGGGTAGTGCTAGTTTCTCTGGTGCTATTTCTGCTGTTCTGAGGGTGGAGGAGTGGATGAAGGAGGAGTCTGGGAGGAAGATTCCTTTGCTGTATAAGGATATGTTCATGAAGAATCTACCAAAATCATGGTGCAATTTTGATGCTTCAGAGGAGGATTTAGATTTCGAAAAAGGTTTGAGCACTGGATTTGATGATATACTCGAGCCTTCAAAGGGGATTAGGGTGGATTTGTTTAATCTGTGATGCCTTAATTTTGTCTTGGATGGTGATGAGAAGGAGCGGTTGATGATTCTATTTAGAAGGACATTGGTGGCCAAGGTGTTAGGTAAGAGTGTGAATTTCTCCTCGCTGGTCATGAATTTAAATAAAATGTGGGCAAAAGCTAGCATGATTTAGATGTACGATCTAGTTAATGGTTTTTTCTTAGTGAAATTCGAGAGTCAAGAGGACTTTGATGCTATGTTAACAGGTAGGGCGTGGATCTATCAAGATTGTTATCTTTGGGTCATGAGGTGGATATCAGACTTCGATTCGAAATCACATGTCATTGATCGGGTTGTTGTGTGGGTAAGATTGCTTGATCTACCTGCTACACACTATGATAGAAAGTTTTTATTTAATTTGGCAAATGCCATTGGCAAAGCAATCAAAGTGGATATGCCAACTGCTCAACGAGGAAGAGGTAAGTTTGCTAGACTCTGTGTCGAATTGGATTTAACCTAACCTCTAGTGCCTGAATATAGTATAGAGGGACAAGTTAAGTCTATTGAATATGAATGCATGGGGCTGCTGTGCCTTTTCTGTGGGAGATATGGTTATGTTAGGGATTCTTGTGAGGACCTTTTGGGGATGGAGAAGGAGAAAGATACTGGGGTTAAGCAAAATGTGCAGGAAAATTAGGGCGAGGCTGAGGTTAGTGACAAAAGGGATGTTGAGGGGGAGAGCCCATAGAAAGTAGCCTAAAGGCCTTGAAAGCCAAGAAGGAACAGAGGGGTGAAGGAGGAGAGTTCTCACGAAAGGAATAGATTTGCTGTATTAAATGAGAATCTACAACAAGAATCATTAAAAGTTACAATGCGTGATATCTCAAATGTTGGTAAGAGTCCTTAGGAGGTGAACCATGTTAATAATCAGAGTCGTAAGTATGAAGGAAGAGAGAATCAGTTCTCAAGTGGGGACAAACAGAGGGGGAATGGTAACAGTCTAAATTATGGGCAAAAAAGTATTAGTAATTGAAATTTTAGAGAGAGAAGAATGGGAAGGTTTCTAATGACAAACCTATTTTAAATTTATCAATGCATAGTTCTAATTCGTTGAAAGGGAATTTAGGTAAAGAGAAGATGTCTGGTTGTGACTAGGATTTGGCAGAGATGATTATTAAAGAAATGGGTTCTGAGAGTAGATTTGATATGGTCTTTAAAGAAAATAAGGAGGATGAAGATAATATGCAGGAGTGCGAGGATGTAGAAAACAGGAGCTGTTGATCTGTTTTCTTTATTTCTTACCACTTTTACCATGAAAGTTGTTGTATGGAATTGTAGAGGAGCAGCAAGTTGTGGTTTTGCTGCTTCTATGAGAAGTATTGTTAAAAAGGTTAGGGCTGATATTGTTGTGTTGTTGGAGCCAAGAATTAGTGGTTCAATTACAAGGAGAGCTATTAGAAGAATGGGTTTCAGATTCTGGGATATTGTGGAGGCTTGTGGCTTTATTGGTAGATTATGGATTTTATCAAATCAAGATGGTTTGGAGCTTACAGTGGTGAAAAACATGAATAATTCATTCATTGTTATTTTGATCGGGATAATGGTTCATTATGATATTTCACAACGGTTTATGCTAACCATATGAAGAAGGGAGGAAAGTATTGTGGCAAGAGTTGT